AAGCCGAGATCATATTTAATTCTGTCACATTAATAAACAAACAAAGTAATTTTGCTCGCAAACTTAAACACAAAAGAAGAATCCTAACTGTCATGCCTAATTCTGATAATCTTTCGTATTTTTCAAAATGTTTAACGCAACTTATCATATCAATTAACTTTTAGAAATTTTATTATTTAAAATACAAAATTGCTTAAATATTTCTTTTAATTTTCGAAAAATTAACTTACTAACATTTTGAATAATGTACCGTACTTTCTAAGTAACACTTTATGATTCAGTAAAAACAAAACCTTTTCATGTTATTATATTAAGCAGAATCACGTAAATTAAGATAATTCAACAAGTTTTTATTAATTATATTAATATTAAAAATGTTCTCCTTTGTCTTATCAAATATGATAAAAAAACAGAAAATATTACATATATTTTTTTTACTTTTATTCAATTCTACTCAATTTTACAAGGCCTACACTTTAAAATTTTACACACACATGTACTCGTAAGATATTTAATAAAATAAACGCAATTAAATTTATATAAAAATGTTGCGTAGTAATTAAATTCATTTTTATAAACTATTAAATAAATTAATTTTGTACAATGGAATGTGAAGTGTGTTCACTTAGAAACTATACTGAAAGTAATTAATACTAAAAGTAACTAAACAATCAAGATAAACATAGTATAAACCAAGTTAATATAATGCTCTTCACAATTATATTGAAAAGAAAAGTGTGCTTAGCATATTCTTCATTCTTAGACCAAAAACAAGCTTGATACAGGTTTATAGAAGAGTATCATATAGCATTTTAGATAAATATAGTCAATAAGCTCACCAATACATGCAGTCAATAAGCTTTCCATACAAACATTTTTATGATTTTTAGAATTCATTTTCACTAAATTCAGAACTTACTTAATATATAACACAAGCCTATAAACACAGAAGTAAGTCAGAATTTATTGTTACACTAATAAATAAAACCAGAAGAGAAACAAGAACGAGTAATAATTCAATCCAAAACAAATGTGTGTAATATGACTAATGTAACTATGCAAATGTTTTCATTCAAACAAACAACAAAACACTGATAAGCTAATCAATCAAATCAACAAATAATCTAATAGATACTAAGTTTATGACTCACAAATCAAAACATTTCATCTGTTTTCACTGTTTTAACCATAATTTGTAAGCAATTTTTTAACTGTTATTTATTCACTTGATACATTATCTACCAATTGTAGTTTTTACTTTCTTTACGCGAATGCTCCTGATGTCGCCACAAAGTTTTTATTGACAACAATTCTCACTTAAACTAACCAGCAAACAGTTTTAATCAATTTATTCATTAACAAAAGACAATAAAATAAAATCTCCATTCACTTTTATTCAGCTGTAATTTCAAAACCGAAGCTAGCATTTTATATTTTTACCGGCAGGTTCTTATAGCATTACGAAGTGATCAATCTTATTCAATGCGATTATATATCAGTTTCAATACCTATTTCTATGATGAACTATTTCCTGCAGAAGGTCTAAGGTTATACCACACAAACTATAGTCATTTTGTTCCCATTTTATCTTCACTTCATTGATTTATAAATCAAATTCAACTTTTTAACATCCTAGTCCTATCAAATTTAGCCAGGTCAACTGATAAAATGATGATAAATATAGGTGAAATGAAATAAATTATTTTAAATTAAAATGAACTGGCAGCGACAATAAAAAATTCAGAAAGCAAATTCCCGAATATCTCGATAAATTTCTTGTAATTTAGGGAAAAATTACTGACTATATATATTTTAAATTTAGATAATTATCAACATTAATAATCAATCAAAAATTGTAGAAGAAATTAAATATCTATGATTAAATTATCAATATAATATTTTCACGTTTATTATTAAGCTTTTATCTGCATGGCAACTTATTCTCAAATTTAAATAAAGTTATCTCATCAAAATTTTTGAAAGTCACTTATTTTAATTTTTGTGAAAAATCATTAAGCATTCATGTAATTTTGCTGCAAATCCAGAAATTATACACTAAATACTACAGAGATGTTTCACCATTTTTCCAATTTACAAACATTTGCATATGAATTCAGTTCATTCTTTGAACTTGAGAAAATTAATAACAACACAAAATAAAAACAGCAAAATCATTTAAATTTTGTATATTAGAAACTTTATAACATCAGAAAACAGTTGAGCATTCATTATATTTCTTAGATTGGATGTGTAATTTGATTTTTAATATGAGAAGTTGTAAAATATTTCAATAATATTATTGTAAATTATATATTTATTACTTAAATAATGTCAAATTTAATAAATTTTAAATATTAAATATACATACAACAAGCAATTTATTATACGTATAAAAATATCTAAATATATATCTTATCGTAAAATACAAGAAAAAAAAGCCGAGATCATATTTAATTCTGTCACATTAATAAACAAACAAAGTAATTTTGCTCGCAAACTTAAACACAAAAGAAGAATCCTAACTGTCATGCCTAATTCTGATAATCTTTCGTATTTTTCAAAATGTTTAACGCAACTTATCATATCAATTAACTTTTAGAAATTTTATTATTTAAAATACAAAATTGCTTAAATATTTCTTTTAATTTTCGAAAAATTAACTTACTAACATTTTGAATAATGTACCGTACTTTCTAAGTAACACTTTATGATTCAATAAAAACAAAACCTTTTCATGTTATTATATTAAGCAGAATCACGTAAATTAAGATAATTCAACAAGTTTTTATTAATTATATTAATATTAATATAATATAAAGAATGTAAATGTGGGTTTAACAATATATTAAAGTTTCTTATTTGGCCACATTTTTATATAAAACATTATTTAATTTGACAGAAAATACAGCAAAAAGAGGGGAGAAAAAAACAATAATTGACATTAACTGTTTTCTTTATGAACATAAGTGATGTAGTATTTTTGTCAGAAAGCATATAATAAAAAATAAAATTACATCTTTATATTAAAAAAAAATTTTAATTTATATATAAAAGTTTTTTTTTAAAATGATTAAAAGTCATATGTAAAAGTCTGAATTATTTATGAAGTGTTTCAAATTGAATTTATTTTAATATATACTTAAAATTAAAAAAAATATATATAGTTAAAATGTATACAGTATTAATTTTTAAACATAAAATAACATTATTATAAAAATTATTTTTAATCAACAACAAAAATAAAAATGCAAAATAATTTAATTTTTAATAGAAGAGAAATAAAATTAAATACAGATTATNATTAAGTTTGTTTTGTAGTCAAAATTGAATGATTTAAACGAACTTGCACCATACAATTCGCTATGCTATCTTATATGATCGAATGAATATTTCAATAATTTATCTCTGAATATTAACACTAGAATAGTTTAAATATGTAAAATTCTTACATATATATTTATATATAACTTATAGCAAACTTCATCAATATTTAGATGTTTGGTCGAAATATTTGTAAATAAGGCCTACCGAAAATATTTTTAAGTTGATCAGTTTTTAAATAGAAAAAGAAGTCATCGAAACGGCACATCGTTCGTTAGCTACGAAACTTTTAATATGTTAATAACACCATAACAAGAGACGTTATTAATAAAAGCGATAATGCTATGCAGAAATTTGGAAATTCAAACATTAGTCCGAGTCATATATTTAGGATTTTAATCCTTTCCTGACAGCCGGCGACATACCGATGATGAAATTTTCTGATCGCGTTTCGAAGCTCATTTTAGAGATAAATAAAGATTAATTTCATCTTTATCAATCTTTATCCATTATAAGATAAGAAATTAATATTTGCAAATCTTTGATCAATTTGTCCACTCAACCAAATAACTTTTAAGGCAGATAGCAATTTATTAGAGAAAACTAAAGTGGCCACCAGAGTGCAAGTTTGTAAATAAATTCAGAAATGCATGATCAAGTATTTAAATTTAATGATAACCAATATTCTATAATTGAGTCGAGAGTTTGGTTTATGTATTATTATTATTTGCTTAATTCATGCAACATGCTTTAATTTAAAATGATTAGTTTCAAGTGGGCTTAGTTTATAAATAGTTTCATAGAAAATGAAAGAAAAAGAAGAATGTGTTAGAAAATGAGATATTAGACAAGAAAAGAAGAGTCTATAGATTATTTATTTTAAATTTCATTTTTGAGTTATATATAAAACGTAATTTAATAACGCAACGTTTTATAAATTTTAGCAGAATATCATTTTTTTCCCCCTTCGCTTATTTAATAAATTATGCATAATTTTATCTAATTTTTAATGGATAATTTTGTTATTAAACAAGAAAAAAAAAAAGCTTCCAATTTCTTTTTTAATTTTCTAAAATCATAAAAAAAAAAAAATTGAATTTTTAAAACCTCGTTGATAAAAAATAAATTTTTAAGCATCTTTAATTATCCATTTTCGTAATAACTAATTAAAAATTGAGATTGTTAAATCAATTATGAACAATTTTTATTGTGAAGTAATATTAGAAATAATTATTTTATTAGCACTGATAACATTAAATTCAATTTATAAAGAAATAAAAAAAAAACTATATATATTAAAGATTTGTTGTTATTTTATTAAAAACCTATATAAATTTTGGATCAGGAAATTAAGAAGGGATAAAAATTAAATCTGCCTGTAACCGTTAGTAATGATATAAAAGTGATCAATCAAATACATTATTTAGAATTTTCTCACATAATTAATTAATGCCTTCATGTAAATGAGATAAAAATAATGATTAGAAATGCCTCATGCTCTAAGGGGAAATAAATATATAATGATCAAAATGAGTGTTAAAAAGGATAAAAGACAGTTAAGATAAAAGGAATATTATACAGATAGAGAAAAAAAATAAAACACTTCACAATTAGAAATTAAGACAACATACTATTGTGACAGAAATGACATGGACACAAGTGACAGAATGAAATTTTACCTATTGATGGGGCAGATGTCTGAGTAAAACCACTAGATGACAACGAAGTTACAGCGTTGGAAGTTTCTGTAATTGGTGTAGACACAGAAGGAGGTGACATACTAGAATGTTGGGAAGAAGAGGGAGTACTGACTGCAGGAGGAAGCATAGGAGAATCATCCTGACTGGCATTAGGGGTGCCACAAGGTGCCGGAGTTGGTGTTGTTGGGGGTCCAGGCATGGAATTTGGTATCCCAGGTTGCTGTTGCATACTGTTATAACTTCCACTGTACATTTTTTGTTGTAAATGCTGCCGTAGATACATCGGTGAAGAACGCATACTAGCAGAATTTGCTGCCGCCACTATGGCGGCTTGAGCTGCTGCCTGTGCATTACCAGGTGGTAACATGGTGGATTTGGAGTACTGGCTAGGTGGAGGCATCATTCCATATCCGGTAGGACCGGCATATTGGGAATTCATAAAGCCAGCTGTAGTAGAAGCTGGGTAATTCTGTGTACCACTAGGAGGCAAACGAACTATCCCTGTCTGGGAAGGATAGTTAGGATTGTTCATGGGAGAAGGATAACTGTTCTGTCCTTGTGTCCCATACCCCTGTAAACCCATTGAGCTTTGAGGGCGAGGATAATTGCCTGGAAATTAAAACTGGTGTCTCAGTGAAACTATATGTGATGTGGATAAATGAGTTAACTATAGAATATTTCTAACTGATATTCATATTATATTTTAAAAATACAGATTCAATATTAATATCAATAATTAAATGAAGTTTTAAATAATAAAATTTATTACAAAATGGATCTAAAATGATTATATTATACTGTTTTTGTTTCTACTAAATAAAAAAAAAACACAGCAAATGCTAAAGTGAGAATTAATAATATTCAGTAGAAACTATACGAGTCAACAGTATGAATTTTTTGTATCATATTCTGAATTAACAATCTGATATCTTTGCATTAAAGCAAACATATAACTTTGTTTAGACATGCATTTTTATTTGCATAATAAAATTTATTCATTTTGAAAATTACACGATGAAGAAGAAGAAGAAAAAAAATAATAATAATAAACATAAAACTATAAATTTAAAATTAAAAAATAAATAAATAAATAAAAACTTTTTACCACTACTACTTTAATATTTAAATTATTAAAAGTAAATATACTGAAACTGTTTCTTAATCAGCTATTATATACCTTGAGGATAATGTCCTTGTTGAGAATATTGTCCTATAGGACCACTATTTCCCATAATCCCCTGATGAATTTTGTTTCCATAGAACTGCGTGGATGCCATTTGTTGATTATAATCTGAAAAATTTTATTTGAAAATGAATAAATCATAAAAGACTTAATATAAAATTCAACAGTGTTAAAAGATGTATGAACCACAACAAACATACATATTGTTTATGGGTTGTGCAATAAGTCACTAATACAGTAATCCTTCCATTTACGCAGTCTTCATTTATATGAATGCAGTTGTCAAATTTTTTTTTAATTTTACATAATCAACTTTATGGGAATAAATGAGAGTTACTTAAAAAAAGGTTTTTTTTTATTATTAACATCTTATATAGATGTAAATTAAAAAAAAACTGTAGTTAAAATCTTACTACTCAAGTAAAATACTGAGAACATAAAGCAGATCCTTATTTTAAACAGATTTCCATGGCTCAATTTACACACACTTTTCACAGAGCCAATCACTCGCACAAATGGAAGTATTATTGTATTTGGAAAAAAATAAAACCAAATCACTTTCAGAATGAAAAAGTTCGAGGAAGCATTTTGGGGAAAAATGTAAATTTAATTTGTTTGGTACAATAAATACGTAAGATCATAAATGTTCTTATTTCTGTAAACTCATAATAGGGCTTTGTAATTTTCTTAGTTTAGTATTTAAGATATCATTTAAACAGCTAAAGGTTTATGTTCTACTATAATATAGTGTTCGAATTTCGGAATGTGAGAACACAAAATTCTGGTTAAGTTACTTGTAATTTGGAATTTGAATTGTAAAGACCTAAAAAAGGGCATTGAACACATCTTAATTGTAGAATCAATAAATCTGCTTGAGTTTAACACGTGCGATTATTTCATTTACATTTGTATTTAAAATACATAAATAAACTGCTCACTTTGTGCTGCCATCTGTGTTGGAGTCATGTGACTTTGTCCATTATTATCTGATTGGCTAGATGATGGTCTGGGAGACATCGGAATGTTTGCTTGTTGGCCTATGATAATAACAAACATTTGAATTATTATTATTTTTTTACGCTTAATAAAGTCGAAATATTCTAATTCAAAGTATGAATTACAAATAATGTTATGTAACTGATTTATTAATGAATAAAATTACAAAAAACAGAATACATTTACTTTAAATTTTGTATTTATCCAAGTAATGAAAAATAAATTACATTAATTTGCCGATAGAAGAAAAAAGAAAACTAAATTGAATATTAAGTAATAATTTCATGAAATTAAAAATTAAAATTTTAATTACAAAAAGAAAAATAATTTTAAAAATTTATAGTTTCTTCGTTTTAGGGTTTAACAAACAACGCATATTAAAAAAATTAATATTTAAATATATATTTATTAATTTCTTTGTAACAAACATAACTGGACTTTTTTCTTAAAATAACTAAATCAAAAAAGCTAATTAAACTTCAATATATATTCGAGACAGTTTTTTTCGCAATTTTTTTTTATATTTGTTAATTTTTNTGATATAAAATTAATTATTTTAAAATTTAATAAAATTTCACGTGTAAAAAAAAATGCGTGCACACAAAACTCTATTTCCAAAAAAGGCTTTAAAAAAATATTAATTAATTTTTAAATAATTAATTTAAAATAAAAATTTCTGACTAATGCCAAATAGAACTAGATCAAAGCATTGTGTAAAAGATAGTAAACAAAAGAAAAGAGAAATGTAAACTCCTATTTCTGTAAGACACGAACAGAACTAGTTACATAATTATGAATAATTTGTAAGTTGACTGTAAGGTTGGAATAATTAATAAACTTAGTTATGCTTTCACAACTGCACTTTAATGATACAAGAAGATAGGGCTACTTAGAAGAATAAATGGAATCATTAAATAAATTAAATATACATTCAAACAGTCTCGTATTATATAGTTATAAAGACTAGTCAGGTGAAGAGTGTAAAGTATACCATTTAAATAAAGCGGCTAATTTTTTAAATAAAAAACCACTTGTCAATAAAGATGGACGACATTTACGTACATTATATGAAATTTTATCTTTTACTCGGTATAGATTATTTATTTAAACTGAAAAGACTGTAAATAATAATAATTTGAATATATTAAAATGTTTTTATAGTTTTATATATGACAAAAGAGAATGTAAAATCAAGTGTCATGTTGAAAAATCTAAAAATATCAGCTAAGTGTCATGTTCTGACAGTAATAAGATCTAATGATGGGTATAACATTTGCTATAAACATTTTAATCCAATTAAATATGCAGATAGACATCAAAATTTAAAAAGCATTTTGGTAATTACTTTATACAATCAATGAAACAAAAAGATAACCAGATATATAGATGCAAATATGACAAAAATTCAAAAATATTGGTTCTAACATCTGTACAGTTACTATTAAATATCAAACCATTTTAAAAGAGTTTCAATCATGCAAGCAATACTGAAACAGAAAACAGAAATATTTATTTTTTAGAAATGACATTAATTTATATAAAAAAAATTGTATAATGTTTCCTTGGATTTTTAAAGCTTTTACTCTTAAAAACAGCATCTTTTCCTTAAACGAAACAACCACGAAACGTGTTATATATTAAAACATATATTTCAAAATACACGCAAAATAACTAAACCTAAATCAACTTTCAATTTAATTTTACTAGACAATAAAAAGAATAAATAAAAGATGAAGACAGTCAGACTTTCGTTTACAAAAGTTTACTACATTCAGATAGAATATAAATAATAATAAAATTATATTCTTAAATAAATTTTATTAAAGATATATTAATTTTCTTTAGAAAACATATTTGTTGACTTTTACAATAAAAATAAATCAACAACAATGTAGTTATTACAGTCAAGCAGTCAACAATAACCAGTAAGCAGATTATCTGCGCCAGGGTTTAAGTACAATAATAGTGTAGAGAGCATTATTCTGGAAGATTTAAGTTGTTAAAAAATTTTAAAAAATGTAATTCTAAAGTTTGTACAAGGATTAAAAAACTTATATTCCGTATTCGTAAGACGAAAAGAAAGTATAATTAATATATTCGCATTTCAAAGTTAAAAAATCCATATGTCATTGTGCCAGTTTAAATTTTCAATCCATTAAAATAAATCAATCGAAGGTTCACTATATATTTCGTGCTAAGAGCCAATTATTGTACTTATAAATATCCCAAAACAATAAACAAACTTTGCTACTACTCAGTATAAACTGTAAAACAATCAATAAATAAATTGTTAAGCTTTACTGACTTTAAAATATCGTTACTGATATGAAAATGGAGAATTAAAGCCTTCATTTTTAAGAAAAGAATTAACAAACACATTATATAGACTACATTTGTCTTCAAAATAATTGGTAAATTTTTGTTTTCTCATTCTTACATTGATTATATTTTTAACAAACATTTGTAATTGGAAGATTTCCTCAAGAGGATCTGGCATGCTATAAAACAAATATTATACAATAAATCAGAAGCCTTCTCTAAATTAATACTGGAGAGATGTATATTTCTCAATATTAATTTAAAATTATTACACTTTTCAGTTTATTTATTAGTTAAATCAAATTATTTATAGCCTTAGAGACCGTACAACGTAATCATACTAAATTCATTACAAGAATGATTAATAATAAGCATAATTAATAAATTTAATTCGTAAATTAGAAAATTTTTTAAAAATTTTAATACGAGATTAGCTTTAGTTTAAAATATATTTAAAAATGCTGCAAAATATTAAAAACTTCTTCTTAAATATGCAAATTTTAAAGTCAACTCTGCCGATATAATATCATTTCGCCAAGGAAACAATTTTAAAAATATTTGTCCGACTAAAACTAAATAAACTTAATAGAATTAATCTTATTATTTATATTTTCTTAAATCTATTTAATTAAAAATACTATTATTATTATTTTTTTTCTTTATCATCTCCGCTTTTCATTGTTCATAATGCGAATGCACACAAACTGTATTTGGCAGCAAAATAAAATAACTCGTTCTTTCTTAACTTTCTCCTATCGCTAGTCGAGATAATTTAATTTTGACAGAGATAAATCCTGAAATAATTTAGTTAATTTTATTCTTAAATAGGAAAAAAACTTAATCAATAATGATGCTTTTTTTTTTTTCTTTGGAACTACATTTTGAAGGAATAATTTTATTTTAAAAAATTAAATGAAGTATAATAGTATATAATTTTCTAGCAATTAAATACTGATAATAATTGCCAAGGGCATGGAGCTGAAGTAAAACAAAAATAAAAAAAAATTAGCATGGATAATTACAAAAAAAAACTCTGTATCAACGGTACCACTGGAGACGTAAACTGTGCAGCATCTTTTCTAATGCAATAATTTTTTTTTTAAATATTCTAGAGTAGGATGTGATTGACCTATCTACAAGGTTGGTAAAACAAGTGACGTCACACATCACTCAAGAGAGATATCCTGTAAGAATTTCGGTTCTATCTTCAACAACCGGTCTTGTAAACTAGTCTTGCGGTGGGATGACAAATAAAACTTCCCCTATCGTTCCTTCCCACTCTTTCAAGGTCAATGTCAGGATAGCCTAGTGCATCAATAAATCTCCCGAACAGCTGTTTGTTGTGTCACAACTTTCTAGTATGAGAGGTGTGACCAGCCAAATGAGGTCAGGCTGGGGGAGGGCGGAAGGGAGACGTGGAGTCTACCAGTGTTAAAGGGGGAGAATGGGGGTTTCCCATCTCTTTAATGACATCATCGGTGGGTGTGAACACGCGACACCGTCACTCACGGAAACGGAGCGATGAGTAAGACACGTGCTGTTTCGCCTCTCCAAGACGATTTCAATATCATCATTGGCTGGATAAGACATAAGGTTGACGAAATATTCAAAATGAATTTAAACGGAATTAAGTTCGATCACTTACCTATGGCTGGAGACATGGAACGTGAACCAGTAGACGAAACTGATGGTGGTCTCAGAGGTTGACCCTGCGACGTGGGAGGAGTGCCAGGGGTCCTAGTCAAACCAGGAGTACTGGTGCCACCGCCCCCTCCACCAGGATCGTCATCCACACCACTAGCCACCTCCTAAAAGAAAAGAGAGGGGGAAAAACACCGTTAACGGTTTAAAAAAGCCGAAAAACTAAAACGTAAACGTAAAAAGCCCAGCGGGAATCACGAGTAAAAAAAACAAGCGAAAAACGAAAAAGAAAGAAAGAAAAAAAAACATCGCGCGGGGACGGGAGGGAAATTTAAAAATCGAAAAATGTCAAGAGCGTGCATCGATCGATACCCACAGCACGCCCACTTTAAAATAAAATAGAATCTGTTTCGCACGTGCTTTACATATTCCGAGCGTGGTGTATTGTAATCGATTGACATTTAAAAAGAAACGACCACTTACTACTGGAGTTCAAAGGCGACGAGCTGCCAACAGCAGAACCGACGCCACAGAGACCTTGCAGCGTTCGATCCCGTGTGCACGCCACCCCCACCTTTCCCCAGGTCAGAAAGAGCCAGTGCCTGGTCCAACACCAGTCGATAGAGCCTCCATGAATAACATTGCTGCGTGCAACGATGCAGCCAACCCAAGGCGAACAGCTAGGGGCTCTAGAAGTTCGTCAGCGCGGTCGGCTCAACGATACTTCCTGTTTTACAAACTAGTTACACACTCCTTTATTGCATCCGATGACTAAAAAATCGATTCCGACACGCTAACAATTCCTCCCCATTCTCGCGCTCCTCGTTATAAACTTCTAAGAGAGAAAGAGGAGGGAGGAAGAAGAGGAGGAGGAGGAGGGAGGAAGAAAGAAAATTTTTCCTCCCCCTTTTTTAAGTCGCCGCCTCGATACGAGAGCCGACAACTTCGACCAGTTGGCCCTTGTTTCAATAAAAACGACTGGATTTGCCGAGAGTTACAACACTGGCAAGTTCTACCAGGCTCGACCGAGATAACAGCACTCGCATTAACCGGACCCAACGCAGCGCGAACCGTCGCTAGGCAACCGCCCGACCGCACCACTGGCGAAGCGAGGGGAGGAGGAAGAAGAAGAAGCCGTCCCGACTTTTAAAAATAACGCACGGTTGTCGGTGGCGCCGCGCGGCGGGACGGAGAGAAACGGGGGAGGAGAAGAGAATAAAAAGAAAAAAAAATCGACTCGGGAAATCGAGTAAAATGTCATCACAGAGTAAGACGGGACGCTTTGGCATTTTGTATTGGAGTTAGTGAGGGAAGAGCGATTCTAGAATTGAACGCTGTCGGTCTGCCTGCTAGCGTCGGTCGGCACACCGTTCGGCGTAATGGAGCCGAGCCGGGCTTAGGTCTCCGTCACACAAACGAACGGCGATTTATCACGTGGCCTGTCAATACTCCGCCTTCTCTTAGACGCGGGGAACGTCTAGCCTCGCAGCCGGGCTCCTATCCAGTCGGAAACTTTATCTAGCCTCGCAGCCGGGCATCCTTCCACTCTGCCGTTCGCTTCTAACGACTGGGTGAAAGGTTATGTAAAATAGGACATTTGACTTTAAAACGTGTCAAAAGGTGTGGAAAAACAGATCTGGACAAAATAATTCAACGATCGTCCTCTTGTCACTTCTATCTGTTTCCTTATTCCCCCCCCGCCCGCCGTCCGGTGGGAAACGGGGGTTTACAATCTTCTCCACCCCTAGCTTACACAGGCGGCGTTGTCGTCGGATCGCGTTACTCGGCGGCGCTGGACAGGATCTCGTTGGCAGCGTACAGATACTGCACAGATCTCCGCGTATCAAAACATTCCCAGACGCGAAAATGACAGAAGAGCGTACGAGATCTTTAAAAAAAATACGCGTGCGCGCGCCGGAGAAAAACACTGGAAAAATTTTTTTAAAAAATTAAAAATCCAGGGGCATTACAATTATTTCAAATCTCGCACCGAGAAAGACCCGGAGGAGAAAAAAAAATGGAATAAAATAAAAAGGGTCACGCTGACTAATCTTACCCTGGGGGAGTTTTCGACACGCCTGACTGACACAGAACTACCGAAGTTGGAAAAATCGCACCAACTTCTGATAGAGGGGTAGGTGTATACGTATATATATATATAGTTAACGCATCTCTTTTCTATCCAACAGCGCCGATAGAAAAGGATTTGTTCACCGACCGATTGATGGTATAAAAGAGTGTTTACAGACCGATTTACTCCACTGATGGATAAGCAGATTAAAGGTCTCCATGTTTATTATACTGTTAGACTCCGCCCGAGGAAATGACATCGAAACTGATCCCCGGTTCCGTTTTCGGAGCGACAGAACGAAATTTCCGACGCGATAGGAGGTACTCCGGATGTGGAAAAACCGATTTTCCGAGTAGGTTATGTGAGATGCTTCTGTTATTACTGACTTTACGATAACGTGTTATTTGCAAGGAGCAAGAGGGAAGGAGGAGGAGGGAAAAAAATCCAAAAAAACGGCACAGAAATGAATAACGCATCCAATTTTATACAAGCTTTAACATTTTAATAAAAATGTTTCCATTCTTCGCTCACGCTGCCTTGATTTATATCTGTATTATCTAGAGAGAGAGAAAGAGAGAGACGGGGGAAACTAGAATACATTTGCACAACCGGACGAGTTTAAACGGTGGCTTATAAATTTCGCCGGTCGTCGCGCGCGCCCGCCACGCGACGCGACGCGACGCGACGACCGGCGAACATTTTACCGCCGTTATCTTTTTTTTTTTTTTTTTTTTTTTTTTTTTTTTTTTAAATAATTAAATCTAAAGTCGGACGTTTCGGGACATAACGCGCTCGGCTTACGCAACTTTTGCAACCTCTCCAGATTTATATTTTAAAAGAGTTTAGGCAAGGAAAACGCTAAATTAAAAGTTTCTCGTCGCGTCACTTTACCGTCTTGATGCGCCCGCGCTCCGCCAAGTAGAAATAAATAACAAGTTGGCGCTTTGGAGGAGTTTCAGCAACATTTTTTTTATTTTTATTTTCCTTCTCTCCCCTCTCCGCCGCTCGCAACTTATCCGAAACTTTATTGACTCATCGATTGGCCGCTCGATCATTCTAAATCGGGCATAAACATTGTATGCGAAAGCGACGACGTCATTTATTCGTTACGCTCTCCGTTTTAAATAAGATTATACAGAAAACCATTTACGGTACTTTTATAGCTATGCGCCACCGCAAATTTAATTATTAGCAACGTTAACCGACGGGGGGAAGGAGCTATGCAAAGAATGTTGCCTACTTTACTCCCCCAGACCAAAAATCACAATGGCTCCACGCTCGGATCGGGTAAAAAAATATGGAGAAATTTCGCGCGCGGGAATGATTAAAACGTGAGGGATTATTCCTGACTGTTATATAACAGAGAGAAAGTATTGTGGCCCCCAAGATTTTTGGAGTCGGGAACCGTCAAACATCGGGAAACGAAGACAAAGTTGGTGCGCGAGAGGACACGATTTTTCACCACTTTGAGAAGCTTAATAACTCTTGCGCCTCTTGTCGAAAATTTCTGAAATTTTGCAGGGAGGTTTGCGTATTAGGGTGAAATGTATATAGAAATTTTCAGGAAAATCGGACCAACGGTTCGGGAGACACGGCTCCTCCCACCCCCTTAACGTCTCCCGAACCAATCCGAAGACTTTAATAAAGGTAACGGTAGCAATCATTAGAGATGAAACAAAGTAAAGAATGCCGGTGAAGTCAACAACGTTGCCAGGTTTTTATTAAAAGTTTCGCCGGTACTACTGAAAGCAACCGATTTAATTACCGATAAGCATCACACTAAAAAACACGCGAGATAAAACCTTATAAAGAAACAATAAAGGCGAGCTAACACCCACGCTTGTTTAGTTCCCGTCGACTAAACTCGTGTTTGGAGAAGTTTTATATAGATCAAAATACACACATCTGAATTTGGCCCACGCGCCAAATTTCCCAGCTCTTACACGTTGGTTCGGATACGTCAGGAAAGGTAAACACTTAGCACGCTTCCGAGCAAAAATCCCAGAAAAGATAAAAATTCTTCTTATTTTTATGAGATTCCGTACCACAAAACTAACCGGGGGAGAAGGAAACGAAATAAAAAAAAAAAAAAAGTTGCCGGCGATGTAATAAAGATTTCTAGCCCTCAGAGACCGCGCTAAGCCACAAAAACATCATACAAAATTAATAACATTTAAGACTGATGACAATTATGTAACATTCCAAAACTCATTCCTCAGCTGAATGGTTATTCTGTCTACCAGGCCCACGTTAAAGAAAAGGAAAAGAAGTAGAAGAAGAAGAAGAAAAAGTAAAAAGATTTCTCTCCCCCTCCTAGTTATTTTGCTTGGTGCGGCTCTTAAAAATTAATTTAATTTACATGATCTACATTATTCTTTTTCTCCTTTTTTTTAAAAGCATTCGAGTACATAAGGAAAAAGAAAGGGGGAAAACTATGACTAAAATCAATGAGATGAAGTAGAGAGAATAATCATTTTCATTTTGAATTTCTATTCTGGAGTGACATAATAAATTATTTTTCTGATTGCAAAACTTGAACTCATTAAAAAGAGCCTCTTTTTTTTACATGTTTTATTATTGGAATCTTCGAAGCTTATCAAAAAATAATAATAATGATAATAAATCAATAGATTCCATATTTTTACTAGCGGGAAAAAGTTATTCTATTACCTATCTGTAGCGCAATTTATTATTATTACTACCACCACTTGCAGTACTATAAACTGGGATGTAATAATACCGAAGGGAGGCATAAGGTTTTAAACCATCTTCTTTCTTTTAAGGACTGTTAAATGACTAGAAATTGGAGAAAAACTCCTAAAAGGTTATTGCCCCCGTGGTGCAATCCCCATCGCTTTAGTGGGTACTTTCTGACCTATTTCGTTCCATTCTGAGAAAATGCGTGGAGAGGACCGGTGGCTAGATACTTTTAAATACAATATGCATTCAATTTAAATTATTATGGAGGTATTTATATATATATAACTAGAAGAGTTGCTCCAGCTTTTGAGGGGTGGAATTGGCAGGGTTGGGTTGGTAGGTGATGATAAAAACAATGGTCTTAGTACATTTATCAACCGAATATTTACAATAAACATTCTCTTAAGCCCAATAAATGATTTGCTTGGGCTTAACAGGTGGACTTTAGGGATGTATTTTTATTTTTTTTTTGGAAACTATAAGCAATGCTTATCATTACATAGNTTTCCTTTTATACAAGATAAATCTTTAGATTTATTTAATGTATGAAAGTTTAAAAAGTCAATTTATATTCAGAAAAATTTTTACTATACAAAATCAAAATTTAGTTCCTTAAAAAAATGTAAATAATACTATTTGTTTATTTGATTAAAACATAGAAAGTTGACATTTAAAGACAGTAAATATAATATAGAAGAGTATTTTTAGAGCAGAATATAGAGCTATCCATTATATGTGATCATTAGAAAAGGGAAATCAGATCAAATTTCTTAATGTTCTAAAACAGACCTAAGATATCATGTGATATATACATATCATATAACATTTAAGTAATTTATATAATGATTGTAAACTTTTTTACTGAAAAAAATATTGGAGCTTGGAAATAAAATAGTAAACTATTCTATAATGTATAATAATAATGTTGAGTCATTATATATTGATTTTCAGCAAGTAAATAGAATGATTCACTACTTTTTGAGAGAGATTTAAAACAAATTTACCATCTGTAATACTAAAAGAGACAAACTATTATTCATTGCTCATTGTTTTTATTTACTAACATAGATTCTTTTAGTTAAAATTTATTGTCATCCTCATCTGAGTTCTCACAGAAGACCATTTACATTATTAAAAAATTTTCATGAAAGTGATTTAAAATAGAAATTCTCCTAAGTGTAATATAATATAATTTTTGCTTTGAAAAAATGGAAATAAAAATTTAATTTCTATTTTTAATGAATAAAAGTAGAGTAAAGAAGTGTTAATTCAAACAAGGACAAAAATTTTAAAATTAATTTTTATATATTTTATTCATTCATTCTCTTAAACAAAACATTTATTTACACGTTAATGAATGAATTGTAAACTACTACTCTTAAACTGAGTGTTTTTGTTTTTTTTAAATATATAAATGCTATAAAAATAGATACTTTATATTTGTTTACTATTATGAACTGTATTATATTGCAAGGTACAACGATAAAACATTATGTCTGTCTGTTGAATATTATTAAAATAAAATAAGATAAATTAATCTCTAATTGATTTTGTTATCTTATTTATTACAAATAAAAAGGCCATTCATATAAATTTTATTGATATTAAATTTGATATTTTATAGTTTATTCATACTGTATACACTTTCATTTCCTAAATACAATGTAACGTAAATCAAATTTAAGACTATAAAATCTCGAAATACTGTATTTGGATTTCTCAGAATAATGTATAACAATGCATGTGATTGTGATGTAATATTGGTCTTATAATTAATTAATATTAAAGTAGAAACATAAAAACATCAGAACAAATAAAAGAATACAAAAGTTTAATATACTTTGAAATAAGTGGAAACGTCTAGGCATCTCGCCTAGACATTTCAGAAATAAAGAAGTTAAAGATAGATAAAAATATTACAAAAGAATTCATATAATGAAAAAGAAACAGGAAAAGATAGAGAAAAAGGGAATAGAGATTTAATTAGAACAGCAAGAAAAATAAGAACAAGAGAGGAATTGTATTGAATGAAAGAAGCCTATGATATGCAATATATCAGAAGGTTCAGGAACAACAATATTGCTGG